AGCGTTAACTTCCATGATTTGGTTGACCGATGCTCATGCTTGTTCTCCGTTACGAGCTATGCGACATACTGTGACATGAAGAGCCCTATCAGTTGAACCTCCTTTAGAGAGGTTATAGAAGCCTCTTTCCATTCCGTAAGGAGAACGTTGGCCTTGCTCTTGGCTCCACCTTCTTAAGTCCACAACCCATCTGGGTGTTGGGCCAAGGAAGTTTTACTTAGGTGCGAGGTATCAGACAACTCGCGGTGGGTTGTAGACTTCTGGGTCCCAGTTAGTGCCATCCGAATCTTCTTCTTCTTCGTCTTCCATTGGTTCCTCTTCCTCGTCTTCCATTGGTTCTTCCATTATTTGTTCAGGATCCTCCTCCGGATCCTCTTCAATCCAACCACTGTTGCCTTGATTTGGGAAATAGGGGTCTCCATGTAGGTGAAATTTTGTCATTGCGTCTGTGCGAGAATAAGGATGTGAGAAATACTTGAAAAACTAAAGTGCATGAAAGTAAATGTCGAAGCCTAAATATTGTAGTTATGGTTCTTACAGTATCGTAAAATAATCCTATAGTATTTTTAATTTTATGTTCGATTCAAGAGTTTATAGGGTTGGTAAGTTTTTATATTTGTTGCTCACTACGACTATTCCCATGCGTATGCTAGTCACCTCTCGGACAAATATAGTTGATCAAGCTATATTTATCCCAAACCTGATTACATATTCCAAGGCATGCTCGTAGTGCTCAACGCATATTTAATACTTTTGGTTTGTTCTTATTATGACGTTGTTCTAGTACATATATATGCATGTATACTTTTTTTAAAAATATTATTATATTTAAAAAGTATAACTCTTTGTCAAAGTGTTTTAGTCCCAATGTATTTATAGTTGTATATCATATGGTTCGATATACTTAGTTCACTATAAACAATGTTTTGATACCAATCTGTCGCACCCCCAAATCGGAATAACAGAAACGTTCGGGGTGGAGGACGTCATGTGCAATATCATAACAATTGAATAGTAAAGAAAGCAAACAAAACCATCATAGATATAATTTAAAAGGTTACATTGTTTCAAAGTTACATGTTTCTAAATAAATTATCATATGATGACAAAGCTGTGATTACATGTGTTACTGGTTTCCTGAGAATACAAGTTATTCGAAAGAGTGTCAACAATTAAGTTGGTGAGTTCATAAGTATTTGTATGAAAAGTTGTATGTTATGAAGTCGTATTTGTTTCCGTAAAATATGATATTTTCTATAAAATGAGTTGTAAGCTGTTTGTTGTAAAACGAAAGTGTTTATCCCGGAAAATCCTATAATTTCCAATAAAACTGAATTGTAGTCTTTAACGTTCCAAGACCGAAAAGTACAAGTATATATGTCATACTTAGTTTAATAATATGTAGTTTTATTCGTAAATAAAATCGTTTGAAGTGACGTGTTTTTACGTAAATTAAGTGTATTTGTCGATTTCACATAAAATAATGTTTTGTCGTTTATCATGTGAGTGTTCATAACCGTGCTGAAATGAATTGCTTGTCTAGACGTTCTTCAGGTGTCGGAAGTGTTATGACATTTGTCACCCATAACCTGCCGGTTTGACTATAGCTAGTAGTCAGGGTGTGGGATTTGGTATAGTTTGGGAAACATTCACATCATTTTACCCTTTCGGGTGTGGGATCATCAGTCCAATATAGATCTATACACAAGTATCACGCTCTCCAAGAGGAGATTTTGGTTATAAAACCGGACTTCCATGTATGCCTTTGGTAGGTACGACGAAGACGAATGACTCACAAATTTCCAACGAGATACGTGTTTTTGTAAATAAAATATTCGTATATGAAATTGTTACCCCTTTCGTTATGTTTATAATATATATATAAAAATAATCGTATTTTTATATAATCGTTTCTTGGCCCCGAAAGGGTAAAATGATGTGAATGTTTCCCAAACTATACCTATTATAGTTTAAAATATATGTTTCATCGAAAATGATAACCCTTTCATTTTAACATGTTTGCATGTAGATGTTTGCAAGTTTGGTAGTAACGTTAGATAGTATATGTGATGTTTTCACTTAATAGATACATAAAAATGTAAGAAAACATAAACAATGGTTTGTACTTTAACACAAGTTTCCTTGTGTTTTACTTGTATTATCCCCCTTAAAACATAGAAAAAGTTATAAAAATGTAGGGGTATAAACTCACCTTGAGTGTGATAACGGTTTTGATAACAAGGTAGAAACGGTGACCTTCGAGTTAGATTACGGGAATGATATTGTTATCCTAATGGTTTTAAACACATAATCATGTGTGATTAAGATGATACAAGTAATATATGTGTTGTATAACATAAGTTTTATGAATAAAACTTACCAAGACTTATAACTTGTAAAGAAGAATGTCTCCAGGAACTTTGAATTAAGAGGAAATATGCTTGATATTTGAGAGAGAATGAGAGTATTTTTGTTTCACTGTGAATCAATTTGGAATTGTGATCCATTTCGTGTCTTAAGTATGAAGAAAGGATAAGAGGTTGATGGGAGGTTTACACCGATAAGTGTATTATATCATCTTGGGATGTTGAATGACCAATCCACTTCCATCTTATCTTGCTTTTAAAGGAGTTTTCGGCTTAAACAATTGTGATTCCGGTCTATGCATGACCGAAATCCTTCATATACACACACATAAGGTGATTTCGGTCCTTAATGGGCCTTAACCAAAGGTTTTCGGTCATGGGGTGCTTTAATGAATGAGATTTCGGTCCTATACTTCCAAATGTAAGTGATTTCGGACATGGTATTCTAGAAATCCCATGCTTTAATTTAATTCTATGACTTGCATTAACTCATAACAATTAAGTATAACATGGTTGTTCACATATTTATATATAATCCATATAAGCATGGTTTTTCCAAATGTAAGTATTTATAACTTAAATGGGTATGGTTTTCAAAGTATGTTCATACATTAACTTATATAAACATGCCTTTATGGCATCGAAGTTCTTATTGTATAATTGTTACGATGGAAATTCACTTTTACATGCATAGTTTTAGACTTTTATTGACTTGAGATAACGAGCTGTTACATTGATACACTTTGGTTATTTTTAAACAATGAACGAATATTTCAGGTGGTTTTAAAAATGAAAATTTTACTTTGTATTTTTGGGATGTTACACCGTCCTTCCCGCAAAAGGTACAATGTTCAATGACATCACTAGGTTGGGTGTCTTTTGATCTCGGAGTATCACGACATTGGTTAGAACTTCCTTCACGTCGTCCGGGCATAGTGGTCTTGAAGGTCTTCGCCTTCGTTGTGGGTTTCTTGTTGACGGATATTGCTTTATGTCGTTCATCTTCTGCAACGAGGTGACAGGCGTTCCCAAGGGTGGACGTTGGATTTGTTGCCAATATTTGGGTTCTGATAACAGAAAAATCATTATCAAGTCCCATGAGAAATTCATAAAGTTTCTCTTTTTCTTTGAGTTGGTTTAGGTTCTTTCCTATGTCGCAGGTGCAACCACTACAAAGTTCATTGAGGTGTGGGTAAGGCAACCTGCGTCTCGCACCAGATGCCTCGAAGTCTAGTGTAATATGTTGATACGGAAGATCCATTTTGGTGAGTCGTGGTGCGTGCTTGTTTCAACTTGTAGGCCCGAGGGGATCTTTCCTTTCCAAATCTTTTAGGCAGATCAAACCATATCTTTGAAGTCGTATTGGCATATTTTACACTAACGCTAATATCGTTTTCCATCGTTGTCGTGAGCCATCCCTTCACCATAACATCGCATCACATCTATATCATGTAATAAGGAGAGTATTTTCTAGGTTTCTGGATTGAGCCATCAATGAAGCCTACCTTGTTTTTGGCAAAGAGAAAGTTCATCATCTCTTGAGACCAATCCACATAGTTGTTGTCGGTAAGGGTGTCATTGACGTGCATTTGTTTTGGGTAATCTGATGCATGGATGTAAAGTGGCGAGTTGGTATCCGGTGCACCTTCAGTCTTCTTGCTTGGTTCTACATCGCCGACCATGGCCGCTGGTTAGGGTTTATGTTGATTAGGGTTTAGGTTAAGAACCACTCTAATACCATATATAAATTGATCGAAAATCTTCTGTATGTATGAATGGTTAAAACCAATTACAAAGGAAGGTAAGGAAGATAAATAGGAAGAATATATTTTATATCCAATAAGATATCTTAAAGGTTCCCCTAGAAATGGAATTAATATAAGTAAAAATGAGAGTTTGAAATTGTCTGCTATGTTGATTCTGATCGGGCTAGGCGTCGTTCCTCTAGAAAATATATGAATGGTTTTTTCTTGTTGTCATCTCTTGTTTCCCGGAAAAGTAAAAACAATCCATATATGGCCATGGCTACTGTGTGCAATATATATAAATATAGGTTCATTAGACAATGTGTATTTTTTCATCCAACTTAATAAAATTTCTCTCCATCCTTTCTTTTATCTCGGTTCTCTCTCTCTACAAAGCTGATTGTGAATGTACTATATTTCTTGTGGTTGTAATCTTGTTTGATGATGTATGGTTTCTTAAGATTAGCTTTATCAAATTCACATACTAATCGAACTTAAAGAAACTCACATTTGACTTTAGTTTTTTTTTCTTAAAGCTTCGTTTCATTTCAAGTAACATAGTGTTTCATATTTGAACGACATTTATGTTTTTTTTATGATTATATACCAAGTACCTACTTTTACAAATATTTCAAATATTACGTGACAAATATATATTATCCTTTATTGTTAAATGGACATCCATGTCTATGCAACAATGTTCTATATTTCTCTTAATTTATATAATCTAGTGTTACGTTTCATTTAAGACCAAAATATGCAAATATTTTGCTAGTAACTTGTTTAATCGGCTGAAACCCACCCGGTTACAATGTTGCAGATTTTGTGTATAAAATTTATTTTTTCTATAGTATATAAAAAAGCCAAATAGCATTATAAAAATGACGCATATTAGAAGCAGTAGTCCTTTATTGACATTAAAAGAGCTCAAATAATCTTTGGTACAAAGCTTCCCCTTTTCCCCTTATTAATACATGAGCAAAAAGATTATACACAAAATATGTTACATATTCTTTATGAACAAAAAAGAAAGGATGCAACAAACACACCCAACTAAAAAATATATTAAAAAAAATAACAAAATTTCATACTAAACTTTCACCATTGATCCCGAGAAGCTTTGGCTAGCATTATAATCTCTTGAATTTGGAGGAGGAGTCAATGAAGGTGAAGGGAATTCAGCTGAAACAGTTTCCCATGAAGTATTCTCATTTTTCCATCTGTGTCTTCGATCTAAAAAGGTCGGTTTTGATGGTGATTTGACCATTTCGACCTTCCATGTCAGCATGGCTACAATTTCTGACATGGGTGGCCTTGTGTTTGCATGAGCTTGAAGGCAAAGTAAAGCTACATGAATTGTTTGCATAACATCTTTCTCTATAAAACCAGCATTTCGTATTCTTGGATCCACTAGATCAATCATCTTTGACCTCTCGTGTAGCTTCCATGCCTATTATCATGCAAGAGGGTATTTTAGGAAAGCTTTTATATATATATTGTCAATAAATAAGATGAAGATGACCTACATATTCCGGGAGATATTGCATTTCTGATGTTAGTGTAAGATCTGTATTTTTTCTGCAGCTAATGATTTCAAGCACAAGAACTCCAAAACTGTAAATGTCAGCTTTTTCAGACAATTCTCCTCTAATTGCATATTCAGGGGCTGTATAGCCTCTACAAAACAACAAAAAGACAAACATTACATTCTATGGGGCGAAAGTCAAAACAATGTTTTTATCAAGGGTATTTTGGGAAATTACAGTGTTCCAGCGAATGTTGTGCTAAGATAAGCTTGATCCTCAGGGAAGAATCTAGCCAATCCAAAATCGCCAATTCTTGGGTGAAATTTGTCATCGAGAAGAATGTTGCTAGCTTTAATATCTCTATGAACAATACGAAGATGTGAGTCCTCATGTAGATATTGTAATCCTCTAGCAATGCCAAGAATTATTTGGAAACGAGTGTTCCAATTAAGATATTGATCACTTTTGCCTGTTCATTAGAAAGACAAAATAAAAAAAATAAAAAGTAGATGGATGAAAAGGGAAGTGAATGTTGAAGAGAATTTAAGTTAAGTACCATAAATAATGTGGTCTAAACTCCTGTTCTTCATGTATTCATACACAAGTAGTCTTTGAGGCCCTTGAGAGCAGCATCCAAGAAGTCGAACAAGGTTTTTGTGTTGTATACTTGTGATCATCTTCACCTCTGAAAGAAATTCAGCTTCTCCTTGTTGTGATTTGTCAAGAGCCAATTTCTTTATAGCAACTAGCAGCCCATCTTCTAGTTTACCCTATTAAAAGCCCTTAAAAGTCATGTATATCTCTACCTTGAACAGCGTTGGAGTTTCAATTTAGGAAAAATGGTAACACTTTATTGCAAAAAAGTAAAAATTCATTGCTCATTTCCAGGGTTTTTGTGAGATACTTACGAGATAAACAGGCCCAAATCCACCTTTACCAAGAAGATTAGACTCATGGAAATTCTTGGTCGCCTTTTTTAATGCTTGGAAGCTAAAGTAGCTTATTGTTCGAAGATTCCCACTGAGATAATCTTTTCCAGCTGTAATATAAGTCAATTTCGCATCGTAAACAAGAAGATTAATCTCAAAAACCATCGAAGATCGTATATCTTTGGAAAAAAGTGACAACCTTTGCTGCTGTCTTTACGCTTTATCAATTTTTTCAAATATGCTGGTCTGATAAATTTCCGAAAAATAAATGCGAGAATCAGCAAAAGTAGAAGCACAATCAATCCTGCCAGGAAGAAGAATAAGGCCGATGAGGAGTGGCCGCCGGCAGGCGGACTTTCTTGGTTAAGTACTAATGCCGCTGGAGGAGCCGCTGCATTTACAGTGTAATTGTATTCTTGTTAAGCAAACATGATATACAGTAATCCCATGTACACCAAGTGTTTGTTCAAATGTTCCTGAGGGAATTATGAAAAATCCCAATTGCACTCTTACATAGTAAAGATTTTCAATAAAATCAAGATAAATTACCTTCAAGTATGCGACGCATGGTTTTTCTCTTTCAAATTGTATTCAGTATTCTCCAAGCACTCATTATTAGCCGAAAGAAAAACGGCGGGAATTCTGAGGAACCAGCCAGCTGATCAAACACGAATAACTTTTTGCTGTTTTGGAGAGATCCAGAGACAGGGAGAGAAGCCAACGACAATATGGAGATGATCGAAAAAGACATTGTAGAGTATCTGAGATTTCCATGTGTTTATAAATCCGAGGACAGGAAAAATGAAAAAGGGAATATTGTCTTCTTGTTGAAGTCGGCTAATCAAGAAATGGAGTTAGGATCAAGAAAGAATGATCGACGCTTCGCTGTGATTCGACTTTGCGAGTATCATATTGATATCGAAGCTTTCTTGTTTCTAGCCGTTGTCTTGACTTATAATCTCCGGCGAGTTTAATGCTGATCAATGATCATTAGTCGAGTCGCAACGTTTTTTTGATTTTACAATTTTATAAAATTAAGGAAAATTACAAAAATGTCCCTGTATGACATTTTGGTCCAAAATATGTTAGAACTAACACCACATGCCTAAAATTGACTTTTTTTTTTTTTTTTTTTTTTTTTTTTTTAGGGATAATGACTTGAAAAAGTAACGAACTCTCAACTTTGGTCACATGTAGTCACTAAACTTTTTTTCGTTATCTATTTGCCATTGAATTATTGGAACTATTCACATTTTACCCTTATGATCGGCTGTTACCGGTCATAAGGGTAAAATCTGAACAGTTTCAATAGTTTAGTGGCAAATAGATAACGAAAAAAAATTTAGTGGCTAAATGTGAACAAAATCGAAAGTTCGTTTCCCTCTAAAAAGTTCAATGACTAAATGTGAACAAACTTCCTATTCTATTATGTTTTAACAAAATTATTTATTTTTGTTTAATTATAGCAACATTTGTTGATGAAGAAATCTATGAAATAAAAAAACAAAATGTAACATCCGGATTTCCAAGTATCATCATTTAAGTAATTTTCTTTTGAGTTAAGAAGAGAGACTCGACGAGTTGACGCCTCAACTCGTCGAGTAAGGTCGCGACTGATGACTCAGATTAATGAATGGACTCAACGAGTCGGTGAGGCGACTCGACGAGTCCGCGCTGTTGGCAGAAACCCTAAATCTTTGGGCCCGAGCCATATTTAAAGGCACTTATGGCCTACAATTGCGACTACCTTTCCCATAAGTGAGAACCCTAGCAAGCTTGAGTGTGTAGAGTGAGAGGAAGAGTTATCTTGAGCTTTTTGATGTGATAGATCTGGACCCTTCTAGGTTCAGAGAGCCGAGAATATGAAGCTTTAGTAGAGTAAACCTTGGGGTTCGAAGTTAGGAAGCATTTATGGGATTTTTATGGTATATATAGTTACTTTCATCTTACACATAGATATGAAGTATTTTATATAAATTACGTGCTATGTGTGCATATTATTTGAATACTTGCTGCCTATGCTGGATGAATGATTTTATACATGTTTTAAAAGATTTAAACGGTATATTTATTTTATATCTACAAATATGTTGCGGATGAAACATGGGTAGATGAAATAGTTGGTGTGTGATGAAATAAAATGATGAGAGATAGGTGATCATAGAAAGGTGGTGATAATTAGGTAAATAGATGATGATGAATATGTGATGTAGGATGAAAGGAGATACCATAACCTTAACCAACAATGTGGCAATGTAGTCATCTACCATAATATAGATGGCGACCACGGACTATTCTAGACAACCCAGTGGAAACACCAGCAGACCCATAACTTGTAGGTGATGAATTACGAGTTCAGGCGATGTTGTAACTACGTATTCATGCGATGATACTCTAACCTCTTACTATGAATTACGAGTTCAGACGATGTTGTAACTATATATTAATGGGATGTCACAAATTTCGTATGCCAAATCAATGGTCATAATTCACATCAGTGAGAATGGTTCATTTTTTTTGTAAAACCAAAATCAGATTGGAAATTTTTATTTTTTATTTTGGAAAATGTCAAACCATTGGTTTTTTATTTCGGTTTTGGTTTTTTGTTTTTTTTAAATATATTTTCAGGGTTTTGTTTTGTTTTGTTTTTTTTTCTTATTTCATAGATTTCTTCATCAACAAATGTTGCTATAATTTAACAAAAATAAATAATTTGCAAAACATAATACAAGAGGAGGTTTGTTCACATTTACTCATTGAACTTTTTAGAGGGAAACGAACTTTCGATTTTGTTCATATTTAGTCACTAAACTTTTTTTTGTTATCTATTTGTCATTGAACTATTGAAACTGTTCACATTTTACCCTTATGACCGGCAACAGTCGGTCATAAGGGTAAAATGTGAACAGTTTCAATAGTTCAATGGCAAATAGATAACGAAAAAAAAGTTTAGTGACAAAAGTTGAAAGTTCGTTACCATTTTATTATTATTATTATTATTATTATTATTATTTTGGTCCTAAACCATAGTGGAAATACTATTTTGCCCTTATTATTTTTTTCTTTACTTTATTATTTTTCAAATTACAAGAAAAAGCAAAAATTAAAAATAAATAAATGTAACACCATCCAACCCATACCTAATTTTTAACACACATTAACTCTGTCTATCTCTTTTCATTATCTCGTAGGAAATCATTCTCAGCTACCCAAACGACCGGAGCCATCACCCTTCTTCGTACCACCACCATCTTCAACTATATGTTCGTCGTCGGAGCCATCAAAACCCTTGCGACATTAGAGGCATCAAAACTATAACATCCTCGTCATTAATAACCCTAGTGTCACTTTTACTGATGCTTTCGAAACTCATTCAGAAGACCTTGTATGTGTCTCTGTGTGTGTGTGTGAGAGAGAGAGAGAAAGAGAGAGATAAATGCATCATTAACAGATCTACAAACCCTAACTTTGATATGCAAATCCCTAACACCCCGTTGTTCAGATCTAGAACCTCCATGGCAGGCGACAGAGGCGACACCGACTTTTGTGGTCCAAAAACACTAAATCGTTTGGGTAGAAGGGTGCTAGATCTGGCTCCGATGTCTACAACTCGAAGGGTAAATAGTAGAGATGGTCTTCGATAAACATATCTAAAGAAAAATGCGCTTCCGACAACAATTGGTCAAGGTTTTTGGTAGTGGAATCTCTAGATTTTTGGTACCTAGTTACATCTGAAACCCTATCTTGCATTTTCATATCTAAGAGGGAGAAGATAGAGGCTTCGTTATGACGAGGAAGTGGCGTTCTGTCGAGAAAAGTGGCATTCTGGCGACGAACCTTTTTAACACGTGAAATCGTCTTCTTAACAAACCTTTTTAACAAATTAACTTCAAGTGTTCATTCTTATCCACACCTTGTTAGTACTATAAAATCATTGATGTTCACTTTGCATTCATCTATATTCCATCATGTGAAATCGTCTTCCTACTTTATCGATCACATAAAACCTTCCAGATACTGCTCCTTCATCATCAAGCTATCACAGCTTAGAGTCTTATTTCTTATGTCAATCTCATCATGTTCCCTATATAATATTAACCTTTCATCACAATTCATAAAACTTATAAGAAGGGCTTACAAAGTTCTCACTGTTAACTTATTCATCATGATAGTCTAGTACCTTAGGGTAAGGTACTATCATGGATTTATCATCATCACTTTTAGCTTCCATTATCTTTACAATAAGTGGTAGTCTTCATGTTGTTTGTCTCATTTCAGGCTCAAGAAATACCCTTAGGTATTTCATATATCCATATTTCCTTGTAGTGACTTCACTCACTAGACATTAGGTTAATGCACCACTACTTGTCTTTTACTACTGTATTAGTTACATAAGGACACCCTTCTTCAACAATTACTATTACACTTGACACTCGATATTGTTGTTTTCTGGTTGCCAACTCCTTAGGATCCCAATAAATCTTATGGAGTCAAATGCATCATACTTCTTCCCAAGTTGTCTCGGTCACGCTTTCTAGTACTATCTTTATTTCATCATCATATCACATTTTCGCTAATTAGGTCATTCACTCACCTTCCCGTTTTGACAATCACATCAAAGCATTATCTTTCACCTAAGCATTATCAAGAGTAAGACACTTGGAATGCTAGTTTCTTCTTATATTTTTTAGTGTCTTAAGCCTTTAGGTGCTTAACTCAATTAAGCACTAAAGGGAAACAACTCAAGAGGTCTTCTAAACTCTAAAGTAAAGCACCAAACTTCAAAGGTTTTGAGCTCCTTTATACTCACGGTTTTAAAGAGAATAAGAAGGGAAGAAAGAAGTGTTTCACTCTTGCAAAAATGGAAGCTTCGTGCATCTCTTATATAGCCCATGAAAAGTAAGGTCTAACCATTAAAATACTCTAAAGTAATTGGTAGCCTTTAGAAGCATAGGAGACAAAGCATGGAGGTTGAAAAGCAACCTCCATATTTTTTTTATTAGTTTCGGCCATACCTTCTTAAAAGACGGGGATTCTTTATTTTTTATAAATTCCAAGTTTATAAAATATAAAAGTTGTCTTCAAGTAAAAGACAAAAGAACCCAATTAGTCCAAAATATTATGCATGACTTATTAATTCATATCATATGAAATAATAACTAGTAACACTCTCTTATAATTATTATTTTCATAAAACAATAATTATTCTCTAATTAAAATACAAGAATTGATATTATTTATTAATAACCCTATTAATAATAAATATATAAAATGTACCAAGTTGATAAAGGTGTAACACTATAGGATCATATATTATTAGTAATAACACTCCATAATGATTTTTGAGCATATAGATCCAATATAGTTTAATATTTATTTATCGAATTCATACGGAAAAAAATTAAATATATATTAAAGACTTGAAGCACAGTAACATAATTTATAAAATATATTAATCAAATATGATCGTGATCTTGATATATTTATTATAAATATAATATTTTTTATTTAATAACTATTTATAATAAAATAATAATTAATTTCAATTAATTATATACATACATATTATTTATGATAATATAATTTGTACTATAATATTTTTGTAATGAAAAAATATTATATATATATATATATATATATATATATATATATATATATATATATATATATATTTTAGGAATATATTTTTTAGAATAAAAAATAGGATAGAAAATAAAATAAGATTGAAAATGAAACATTATTTACCATTTACCCTATTTTTTACTCCGGAGGAAAAGAGATGGTCTTAGAAATCTTGTAAACTTTGATGGTTTTTTTTTTTTTTGAATAGTATAGATTCATCATGATTACAATAAAGAAGCAAATGACATCTTAAACTTGTTCGTGATGTATGAAACATCAAACACGTCACTAAATTTAAAATATAGATTTTTTAATCTTTTATCAACCAACTTAAA